CAGTGCGATTGGCGCAGGACAGAGCGGAGTTTAGGGCTGTTGTACATAGGGTCGCTATGAGTCGCAGGCGACTCGACGGCACATAACAACAACAACAACTAGGCCAGCTGATAAAGTTGTGATAAATCAATGTGGAATTCAGATTACATTCAAGGATTAAATTTGACAGATTTTTTTTACTGTAAATTCCTTTACCTAGGAGGGTGTCTCACTGTATTAGGTTGCCCACAGTGTGATTTGGGTGTTGTGTGTATATGCTGTGTACCATAGCTGGAACAACCAACCCATAGTTGACCCTCTGACGTGTTTCAGAGGAAATAATCACACAGGAGACTGTCCATCCTCAAACCGAGTGCCTTTGGGATTGCAGTGCAGGGCTTCTTACCACTAGGCCACCAATGCTCTCCGATTTGAGTTGTTGTGGAGTACCATCGAATCACAGATGACTCATAGCGACCCTATGAACAAAAGACCTGAACCCTGTTGTATAACTAATATTATTTCTCTGAGTTCATAGAGTTTCTGGAGGCAAGATATTTCGGAAATGGATGCCACTCCTGCTTCTTATCTGTTTTAATCTGGGAGCTCCACCAAACACTGTCCATCATGGGTAACAATTATTGTATTTGGAACATCAGTGTCAGACTGTTAAACATCACAGCAACCACGGATTACCTCTGTACATCAAACTGAAAGGCCAGTGCTAGAATATTTGACCTAAGACAAAACCAAACTGGTAATCAACTGTTTTTCTAAAACTGCCTTTTTAAATATAAGGCCAAATCAAATCAGCTCACATCCAACTGTGAACGAAACACAAAACCAAGCAAACTACCCCAATTTGGGTAGCATCTAAAAAGTAGACATGTCAAAGAGCTGCTCTAGGTCAAGCTGCCAACTAGGTCTAGATTACCTTGAGAAAGATACAGAAAGTTCAAAGCCCTGCTTAATATGCAGCCTAACATACATAAATTAAGCAGCAAATCAAAGCCACTGCCAACACGCTGATTTCCAACTCACAGTGATTCTGGGAGTAGACTGCTAATCTTTCCTCCCTTCTAGAGTGGCTGTTAGACTCAAACCACTGACCTTTCAGTAGCAGTTCAACTAGTAACACCAAAGCTTCTTCACATAAATTCTGATGTAATTTAGATTAAAATTGTTCTAAGCGTCAGTTAAGATAGGTGGTTTGGAGCTACAGGAAAAATGCAATCTCCTCCCATGCGATTTATTGCCTCGGAAGACCTGCTGGAGGTTCAGCTATGGGTTGATTCCAACTCAGTGTTCACACGAAGCTTCACCTGATTATACTAATTTCTGTTCTATTAAGCCTGAACATGTACAGAAATCAGTGTTGCTACCTTAGTTAGGACTATATGAAAAGGTTTAGTGACCTTATCCATAAGGAGTAGCTCTAACCCAAAGGCTGTTTGGATCCACTAGTGGCTCCGTGGGAGAATGATAGGCAATCTCATGTGATTTACAGCCTTGGAAACCGAATGAAGGGTCTCTACGAATGTGCTCAACAAGCTGAGTTTGTTGTGATGAAGTTTAGGACTAAATGAACAATATAGCATCAGGATTGGAGGAAAATTTTAACAGCTTGTTATGCAGGTTAACATAACTTTGCTTGCAGAAAGTGAACAGCTGAAGAATTTAATGAAGGCCAAAGATACAGCCTTCAATATAGATTATAACTCAACACCAAGTGAACAAAAATTCTCACAACTGGATCAACAGGCAACATGATAGATGGGAAAAAAAATTCATGATGTCAATTATTTCATTTTACTTTGATTCATAATCAAATTCCATGTTAGCAGCAGTCCAGAAATCAGACACATTCCATTAGACAAACTGTCAAGGACTTCCTGAAAATGTTAAAGGGCAAAGATGTTAGTTTAAAGACTAAGATGCACCTGTCCCAAACAATATTGTTTACAATTGTTTCATATACATGTAGAAGTTGGACAATGAGTATGGAAACTGAAAAATTGATGCCTTTGAGTTGTAGTATCGGAGAAGACTGAATATCACATAGGTTGCCAAAATTACAAACAAATCTGTCCTGGATGAAGAATAACCACGGTACTCCTTAGAAACAAGGATAGTTAGATTTTGTCTCATACTTTTGGCATGTTGTCAGGAAGGCCCTCTTTGGAAAAAAAGATATTATGCTGGAAAAAGTAGATGGTCAATGAAAAAGAGCCTTAACAAGATGGTTTGACACAGTGACTGTAACAGTAAGTTTGAATATAACCGAATTTTTAAGGTGCACAAAAGGGCAAAATTTCGATCTATTGTTCATAGGGGTGCTTGACTTGACAGCATATGACATCAGATATATGCTCATCATATTTTTTTTAGTTATTTTTGTGCATGTGTATGTACCATCGAATTGGATCCAACTAGTACAGAAGATTGTCCCTCCTCCTTCTCCAGTGGAGCATCTGGTGATTTCGAACTGCGCGCCTTTGGGATTCAGTGCAGCTTCTTGCCACTAGACCACCAGAGCTCCATGCTCATCATATTTTCAAAACATAACATTAGTTACAACATTTTTGTCAAATTGAGGAAGATAAAACTATTAGGGACTGAAAACAAAGAAGCAAAGTCAGACATGTCTACTTGAATTTATTCTTATTTTTTTTAAAAAAGGGGAAAAGTGGGGATAGAGGGGGAAATAACCCCTAAACACTGTGAAGAGGAAGCAAGACCTGGGTGTAGCCCCCTACTCCCAAACTCAGCTCTCCAAGAGATTCCCACCCACCCAATTTTTTTTTTAAACAAAATACTCAAACCAGCAATGTAGATATCTGGGATAGTCACTGAGATTATGAACACTGGGAATGGAAGGGAGAAAGTTCAAAATATCAGCACTGGGGGGAAAAGGGGAAGAGGGAAAGGCTATACTCTGGAAGACAGAGTTGGGCAGCTGGAGATGGAGGTGAGCCAGTTTAGGGAGTATCCCAACTGACTACTGCTGCCCACAGACCCCAGGATCCCAGAGTGCCCCATGGTTTGTTCTGTATGTAGTCCATTCTTTATTCCCCAAAGGCTTCACAGGCCTAACTCCAAGTCCTCCAGCTCCTCTTCCAGTGCCCTCCTCCTTGCCAACTTCTCCAGCTGCTCTTTGCTTGGCTGACTGATCTCCCCAGACTGGATCCGCTGCTGCAGTTCTTCCACCTGTCGCAGCTTCTTCTTTAGGTTCTTTATCTTCTTGGCTTTCTCAGTGGTGGCAGCTGAGTCAGACTGATCAGAGGCAGATGTAGGGAGGGCTCGAGAGCCCTGTGGAGCACTAGGGAGGTGAGCTGTCTCTCCCAGGGACACCTTTTCAAGAGTCCGGCTCAAGGCCTCTGCCTCTCCCTTCTCTTGCTGCTGTCGCCTCTTTTCCTTTCTCTTTAGGTTGCGTTTGGCTGTCTTAGAGAGACCTGGTTCACCACCTTCAGGCCTGGATGAGGTGGCAGGAGCGGTGGCCTCTGGACTCAGCCCTGGAGGCAGATCTGGTTTACTCTTAAAAAACTTCACATATTTGTTCTCATACCTAAAGAGAACAAAAGATGTCAACAGAATTCTAAAGAATTACTGACTTTTTGAGCCTTTTTCTTAACCTTCTAAACCACTTCATCCCAATCCTATTTCCACTTCCTTTCTCTATTCCCCTTCCCCATAATTTTCCTCTGTTCCACAGTTGGGTTTGTGGGAAGAGCTCTAAGACCTAAGCTCTGGATCTCTCTGAAACAGAGACCAAAGAACAGGCTTAATAACTCTGTCAGTTATGCTTGGATCCCTGTCCTCGCCTCCTCCCTAGCCCTTTCCCCCTTCTCATTGTGCTTCCCATTTCCTGTGCACTCAGGAGAGTCTTCTCTGATCTCATAAGCATATCCATTCTATTCTTCCTTCAAAAGTCTATTAAGCACCCCCTCCTTAGGCCTAACCACGCACACTGGGACCTCCTCTTGTGGCACATAGCCTTCTTTCACCCTCCGCTGCTTCCGCCAGGTCCCGTCAGGTCGCTGTGTTGAAGCAATGTACTTGCCTGAAATAACGGAATGAAATTGGAGAGTAGTTATCTTTTTTAAACATTTCCTAAGATCAGCGAATAAGACATGAATGCAAATATCTATCCCTCTACCAAATTCAACCATTAAGGTACCTCCTATTATCCCTCTCCTGCATTACTTACTAAGTATCTATCATTTTTAAAAAACAAAGGTAGGCCCTGGGGAATATGTAGTATTCACTATCCCTGCCCTCAAGGAGCTTCTCTTGTTATAACTTAGTTGGCAAGAAAAATCAAGGACAAAGAAAGAGTAAAAAAAAATCACAAAACAATAAGCATAGCACATCAAAAGGCAGTGAGTGAAGTTTTAAAAGTGATCAAAAACAAGACACAAAAAAAGAAAAGTTACTAGAGATTGCATGGAGAAGGGAGTATTTTATTTAGATAGAACTTTAAAATGGACCAATTTTAGGCCAGTTTTTAAACTAAAAAATGCTCTGTAAATAAAAAAGCAATATTATACAAAGAGGGATCTCTGATGGCCGATGGGATAAGGAGTTACATTGCCAAGCCAAAAGCAGATTTGAACCCACCAGCTGCTCCAAGGGAGAAAGAAAGGTCATATCCTCCTGGGTGACTCACAGCCTCTGAAAACCAGCTGTAAAGAGGATCAGCTATGAGTCAATTCCAACTTGATGGCTACAAGAGTGAGTGAATACAAGGATATACACAAAGGATATTTGTTACTGAATTAAATCAGCAAAACACTCAATGATTATCAATAGAGGAATGACTGAATAGATTTGCTCCACTCATAAATGGAATACCATTTTATTATTTTAAAAAAAGTATTAGATTTAAACATACTAATCTTAAATGTCATTCATGATACACTGAGTGAAAAACAAAGGCGTAGAATAATTTGTAAAACAGTTCATAAACTTTTTTATTTCAGAATCTTCTTTGTATTATTTTTTAATATTATATATGTCATTATCCTGTATTGATAAAAATATCATTAAAATTTTTATAAAATAAGTACTGTCATGAACATACTATATACTGCCAGATACAAGACTTCCATAATTCTAACTTCCAAGGCCATGAATCTTTACAGGAGCATTCTGGCACATCTTTCTCCAATAGAGTAGCTGGGACAAAAAATTGAAAGCACTTTTCTTGAAACAACCATCTTACTTTGGTATGTAACAGAAATACTTCATGATTACTTCCCATTTAGTCACAAAGAACATTAAAAAGACATGTATCAAAAAAAAAAGTTTCTTTTTAAAAGTATATCCAAGGGTAGGCATTTTAGAAAATTAATGCTTTTTATTGGACTTTCTTAGGTGAAACTGGTATTATTTACTTTGTCTTCCCATAAACACTACAATTATAAATATAGTTTATGCTAAAGTACCAGCAGTTTTACCCACCATCGCTTTGGAAACATCAGTGTAAACAAATGTCAACCTAGTAAAAAAAGGCAAATACAGAAACATCAGCCTTTGAAAACACTATAGAACAGGATTCTACTCTGACACACATGGGCTGTTGTGAATTAAAACTAAAGGCAACTAGTGATGGCATTGATAATGACACAGTTCTGCTTATAGACCTGACAGAGTCTAACAGATCTCCAGGGATTCTTAGACTACTTTGAGAATTTTTAGTATAGATTATGGTTCCATTTTTGTTGCAGGAAGGGTGAGCACTTCAAGACCCACACAATCAGAGTATAGAGACCTTGGAAGAGCATATATTTTTGTTGACTGCCTTCAAGTTGAGCATGACTCATAGCGACCCTATGAACAAAAGGCCTGAAGCCCCTCTACAACTATCGACATTTATCAAAGTTCACAGAGTTTCTGGAGGCAAGTTGTTTGAAGTGGATGCCATTCCTGCATATACTAAGCCTTTAATTCTAGTTAACATAAGGGGGGTAACCTGGTAGAGGTGGCAGGAACCATTAACTTTAAAAATTTGTATCAATTTTTCTATTGCTTAAAATAGAGAAAGATTTTTAAAAGTAAAAAGTCAAGTTTGGGGCTCCCCACGTAATTTTTTTTCACATTGTAAATATCTTTAAAAATTTATTTAACTAAGAAAAATAAACATAATTTAACAAGTGAGGGAAAGATTTTAAAAAAATGAAAAAAGAAAGGCATGGACATGAGAATGAGTACAGAATACCCAAGGAAAAGAGTAGAAGAATCCAGGAGATTAAGACAACTCATGTTAGGGAATAATAGAAAGCCAGACTGAGGGCAGGTAAATGGAGGAGAAAATAGAATCATATTTTAGAAAGCCTTAAAATATGGTAGGAATTTAACCATTATCTGCTTTCATAAAGAGAACTACTGAAGATATTTTCTTGTCTGGCTACAACAGAGAGCTGGACAATGACTAGGGATGATAGAAGAATTGATGCCTTTGAGCTGTGGTGCTGGAGAAGAATGTTCAATATACCACGGACTGCTAAGAGAACAAACAGGTTCATCCTGGAGAGAATGAAACCAGGCTGCTTGTTGGAGGCAAGGATTCTAAAGCTCTGCCTGACATACTCTGGGCATGCTGCAAAGAGGGACCAGTCTTTGAAGAGGGACATCATACTTGGAAGGATGGAGGGACAAGAGAGGAAGACCCTCAATGAGATGGATTGATTCAGTGACTGGAGGAATGGGGGGTAAGTGTGTCAGAGACTATAGGTTGGTTCAGGATATAACAGGGTTCAGAGCTGTTGTACATAGGGTTGCTATGAGTTGCAACTCGACAGCACATAATGACCAACAACAAGCTACAACTGATATGACTTGAGATTTATAAAAGATCAAGATTGGGGGGGAGGGGGGAGAGGAAGAAAAGTGCAACAATGAAAGACTGGAAACCCTAAGTCTCTGTAAACTTTCATTAAAATTAATTTTAAAAAGAAACTAACTGCAATCCCAGAGGTGGTTGTTGTTGTTGTTATGTGCCGTCAAGTCGTTTGTGACTCATAGTGACCCTATGCACAACAGCCCTAAACCCTGCTCTATCCTGTGCCAACCACACTGCCTCTGACACACCCATCCCGATTACCCCAGTCACTGAATCAATCCACCTCATAGTGGGTCGTCCCCTCCTGTGCTGTCCCTCCACCCTCCCAAGCATGATGTCCCTCTCCAAGGACCTGTCCCTCCTTACAACATGTCCAAAGCATGTCAGATGAAGCCCCAGAATCCTTGTCTCCAAGGAGTAGCCTGGTTTAACCCTCTCCAGGATGAATCTGTTTTC